TGTGAACTCACTCTTGATTTTCATGAATTATACGACTTAGGAAGTCCACTTTGTTTGTTATATTCGGGTTTTGTGTGAAGTGAGTTAGCTCCTTATTTGGTTTCTGGTTGGAATGTAACTGTTTTTACTGAAGGAATATTTAGAAATAACTTTGATAATGAAAGTATTATATTAGTTGATGCGTAGTTAAATAAAGGTATTGACGAATAATATATGGTAGTTAGAAACTATCAAAAGGAAAAATTACAACAACAGAGTAGTCATAAGCAGAAATCTCTAATTTTCAAAATCGATTATACACACACATATATAATCGTATATATGATAGTTTTCGTCAAATATGAGTATTCGCTTTTTTGAATGCTGGTTTGGCGCGGCTGAGGCTCAGGCTAGTTTTGAGTTACAACTTATGCAGTATACTTTTCGTATGAGTATTTCTTCTATATGATTATGATTCTTTATCTCATTGCGGATCTCAGAGATGTTATTGGGTATTAAAAAAAATTGTCAGTTTATGCATTCAAATAAAGAAAATTTGTAAAAAGTTACGAGCGAAAATGTACTAGTTTTCCAATATTAAAACTTTATCTGATATATTGGTTTTCAAATTAATTATGTACATATTGAATTATAAATAAATACACGCATACATCTATTGGTTGGTTCACCTTTCTTTTAACACAACAATTTGAACTCCCCCTGTATAAATTACTTGCTGTGCCACTGCCTGATTTCACGCTCAAAGAATCTAATTTTCTATTAATAAAAACAATTACAGTGAAAAACAAGAAAAGTTTAAAGTGAAATAACAAATACAACTACAAAAACAACGCAATAATAACTCATATATATATATACAATAATTATTTACAACAGTTAACATTGATATGTTTAAAATATGTAATAGGTGAACAATAAAATAAGTAACGCTTTCGGCGTGAACTGCACAAAGTGCTAGTATTATGTATTAATTTCATAATATGCTATACTTGTAACGGTAAAATTTTCAACTGATTATATACATATGTATATATACAACAAACATATTTACAACAAATGGTCAGTTGATAGTGATTGAGGCAATTTGCGTGATTTCGGTACAATTGTGGAACGGTGAATTTGTGGACGATTACTTATGAGATCAGGTGTGAGACAAACGCATACATATACATATGTATATTTTTGCGGGGTTTTCAAAATTTTTGCAATAACGGCACTTCCGTGAAATCGTACATACCTTGTTGTAGTAACAAATTTGTTTGTTGTAATTGCAACATTTTACTGTGAGTGATCTCTTTTTCAAACATTATGAATAATTTTTTTTTGTTTACTCGAGCGGCAGTTGCGAAGCACCAATCGCTTATGCAATTCAACTATGTTACATTTGTAGTGATGCTTGCTTTGTTTGCCGCCATTTCGCACCGCTAATTTATTTGCATTTTATGCCTCGTCGCTCTGTTTTTGTTTCTGTTTCTGTTTCTGTTTTATGATTTTTTCATTTTGTCTGATTTGTTTGAGTTTGTATTTGTATTTGAGCATTCGCATGCCTCTAATGACGGCCCCTTGGCGTTTGTCGCACCAGAACCCATTCAACTAACACTAGATATATGTCTGTTCGCAGGAGTTGTGTCGCACATGTTGAATGCCATGCAGTGAGCATGTCGAATAGCAACGGCGCGTCGCAAATCTCTGCAAAAATAATAGATAATTTTCGAAATTTCGCTTTGTAACTGCACTACATATTTCCATATAGGTGTGATTGTAGAGGCTTTTATGTGTATGTGTGTGTGTGTGTGTTAATGTAATTTGTTTGCAACTTTGTTTTGTGGCTTGAGGATTTATGGTTGTATTGTTTTTGGTTTTACAAAATTTTTATGTTTTTGTTGCTGTTGACATGCAGTCGGCACTCGAGTGTGTGTGTGTGCGCTGCGGTGGGGTGCGGGGCAAAGTTGCTGTGCTTATCGTGGGTTAAGTATTTAAAGTGGCAAGTAGATTTAAGTGGTGGTAAATGTTTTCGTGTATTTTTGTTGCAATTTGTTGCTGCTGTTTATAGAGGTTTTTGTGGAGTTGTTCTTCTAGTTTAATAAAGTTTTAAATAGTTTTTGTTGCTGGAGCATGCTTAGCAGCATTTAATGGCTTCTACTAAAAGTTATTATTTATGTTTTGTTACGTTATTATTAGCTTCACGCAAAAAAAATTTAATAACTGAGTGGAGATTAGGATGGTAAATTCCCTGTGCTCACAATAGGATAATTAACACGAATTATTAATATGTATATTTTGAGTTGAATTAATATTAAAAACAAGCAAAAACTTTGGCTACAGCGAAGCTATTAATATCCTTTTCACAGGTGAATTTTTATAACATAAAAATGCAAAAAAATAATATTTATCTTGATTGTTTTACGGCAGCCATATGGAATAGATGTACAATCTGAACAACTTATTCGGAGATTGTGGCGATGCTTTAAATAATAATCGCTGCCGAATTTCGTGAAGAAATCTTGTAAAACAAAAAAATTTTCCATACAAGAACTTGAGTGTGATCGGTCAGTTTGTATCGCAGCTATATGCTACAATTGTCCGATATCGGCGGTTTCGACAAATAAGCAGCTCCTTGATGATAAAAGGACGCGTGCAAAATTTTAGATCGATATCTCAAAAACTGATCATACAAGGTGTAGGTAACTGAGTAATCATTGGCCATTTTTGGTGTATTATTTATTACCACCATCCCTTGTTATCGTTTACAGATATATCAGATTCAAGCAACTGATCGAGACCAGAGCTGTAAAATATCAGTTTAGTTAGCTAGTTAGTTAGTTAGTAGCTTATACTAATATATAATGAGAAGTAGAAGTAAAACGAGAGATATCTACAATTAAAGGCCCTGCAAAGATTAATGTTTTCAAGCAACATTTTTAAGCTGAATCCAGATATTTCCTGAATAGTCAAAGTGTCACCTGACACACAGCACGACTTCTGAAAATGTAATAAAATTGAAAGGAAGAACTCTGCTATGACTAGTTGAGCCTGCTAGGTATCTTGCAAAGTTTCAGTATTAGATGTTGGAAGTTATCGAAGTCGAGTCTTCTTCAAAAGCGTATAAATCACCAATACTCTGATAATGGTAAGGGCGATAGCTACTGATTTTTGATAAGAGATTATAATCGATGATCGATAAAAGGTGCTCATTCTCCTCTGTAATTTAGCTTAGTAGTCACATTTCAAATGTGTGTGTTATACGTAAATATATTATAAATTCTTCTAACATTTTCTTTAACTACCAAAATTTAAAAATTTGTTTGGGTAATAATTATACCTCAAGATATCAGTCCATTTATGGAGAGTCTGAAAAACTCTACCCTTTCTTAAAAGATTTCTATCTCTATGAAGTTGCCTTCGTTGAAATTTTACTTTTTGATAAAATATTTTGTTTTCATAACCCCACATTGTGAGTGGTGTTAAATACTCGTCAAGTTGTAAAGAAATTGGACAAAAAATACTTTCTTGTGTCCGGTTTTACCTTTATGATGTTTTGAGGTACGGAAGCATTGTGAAATGCTCGAGAGAAAAAAAAATTGGATCCCGTCTAGCAGCTAAATTATTATTAAAAGTTTAAATATATGTTCGAAGCATAAATTTTTCAATTTTGGAAGGTTGTAGCGACTGCTTAGATTACTCAAATTACGCAAGTAATTACAGCAGGAATTTAAAATTCTTTTAAGGTAAAAATGGTAGAAAAATTTTTATTTTCTTATAGATATTTGAAAAAAAAGCATGATAGCACATTTTGAAGCACATTCCGTCGCACAAATTTCTTAATTAAATAATTAAGAATGGAATTTTGGCACTCAGGTGTATACTGTTTGTTTTGCAAAGTTGTTAACGCAGATTTTGTTTTCATTGGTTTTGTGTACTCACTTTCATAATACTTTTGTTGTGGCACATCATTATACACAGTTATGCCGGCTTGGTTTAAATAATTAGTTGGTTTTTGTGCGTTTTCTTTCATTTATTTTTTTTTTTGGCTTTTTGCAAATAACTTGGTAATGAATTATAAATTCTACGAAAGTTGGTTCAATTTACTCCTACATAGTATTTCGCTGACCCGTAGCCAAAATGCCGCGGTGAGCACAAAATTGCAGAAAAAAGCGAACAGGAAAAAAAACAACCAAAAATAAAAAATAAATATTATATAAAGTAAATTGAACTGAATTGTATGGTGCAGCAGCAGAGTCGTAGGAGGGGATGATTCAAAAGTTCTTGGGTGAGGAGACGACGTTAGAGGTGCGCTAAGCATTTATTGTTATTTATTTATTCAATTTGTTGTTGTTTATTATTGTTGTTGGTGTGCGAAATCGCTTTCTTCCTTGCTGTATTTGATTTGATAGCGAAACAGCTCGTTGGCATTGGTCGGTGTGGCGAAAGTGATTGAGCAACGCTGGAATTTTGTTGATTCCTTACTTATTTATTTCTTATGTATGTATGTGTGTTTGTGTACTGTATTGTTTTATAGTGCAATTTCAGTGAGATTGTCGTGGATTTTATGGATTCGATAATTCATTTTGATTGTGTTGTAAATCATTTTCGCTTGGTTGAGTAGGTGGTTTTATTGAAGCGAATTTATTTTGTGTTTCCTTCTCTTTACTACATAGGTGTATACACGCATATGCATTTGTTAGTGTTATGTTTTAATTACTTTTATTAGTTGCAATAAACACATGTTGTTTGCGTGAATTATTATTGGTTTGTCTGTTTTGGTTTAATTTTTATTTTTACAAAAATAACTGTTAAATTTCAAAAACATAAATAGTAGATACACGTTTATAGCGGCTTAAAAGCAAATAACTGTAACAGCAGTAAAAAAAACAACAACAATAACTTATAAATTTGTACAAACAAATTTGAGAAGAAAATTAAAGGAAAAACCAAAGAAAGGCAAAGGACCAAAAAGCGACCGCGGCGACGCGCCACATTTCGGCACACCACCAACTTACCTGCGATTTGGAACGCATTGTTGGTTGGTATTTGCGGCGTACTCCTCGCGGGCAGCAAACGCACAACAGACGCACGAATGCTCTGAAAAAAAGTAGGAATAAAAGAATATTAAATGCGCTCAGATTTGTAAATCAGCATAATTTCTTAGTAATACGGTTGTATCTGGTTTGATAAAGTCGAACCGAAATCCGCTTAACACATTTGTGAGAGTATTTAGCAGTTGGAAAAAAGTTCTATACTGAATGCTCAACTCTTTTTATGCTCGCAGTATGCAAAATTGTAAATTTTAATCAAATAATCTTCTCAATTGAATTAAGTTGGATCGGTATATTGGCGGCTAATCAACAAACGTCTTGTAGTCTTTTCGAAACTGTATAAGTAAAAAGCATGCGTGTTTTCCATCGGGGTTCTTAAGGCATTCCATCTCACCTTTATCCGTCTGTCATCCCTTTTGGAAATTTCATTCCTAAGCGCAAAGACTAAACTTATAGATAAGATTCAAAAGTTCTAACGCTGAGGACCTAATACAGAGTACAAAAGTAAAATCTCCTTGAAAAAAGTCTACTACTTATAGATCTTCCAACATTGACATTTTTTAACCAGTGGCTAGAGTTTTCAGATTTAAAAAAGCATCCTCTCGATTGTCTACCCTTTGTGCAGTGAATTCTACATTCGTCTTTAACAGAATTAAGCATTTAAATAATTGATAAGCCAATCAGTAAATCCTTTCAACGTCGATGAAGAAGACCAATACTTCATGACCGAGAAATGACAAGATATCTACAACCTGCGAACCATCAGCCCACGCAAACATGCTGAGGTGCCGCATTATCATTTTCTCCTTTCGCAAACAAATCGAAAGGAAAATAAACAAATCTGTCTGTGTGTAAGAAAACTCCAACAATTTGGCTGCCAAAGTGTGGCTTCAGAGTGAAGAGCTTTTCCCAAGGGCATATTAAGGCTATTGTTAAAGAAAATTGCTTTGTAAGTGTTCGATAATTTTGTTGGCTTAATATTCCCAAGCAAACAGATATATTATGAGCGTGTGTGTGTATACAAGTATATGTTATGCATATAAATATTATATTGGATTGTGTTACAAGCAAAGAAATTTATGTAATCATTTTATCATCATCATTTGCTGTAGTAATGATTCGACGTTAAAATGTGGCAATTACCGAAACTGGGGAGAAATGCGAGAGTGTGTATATGAACCATACGAGTATATGTATGTATTTGGTGTAGGCGTGATTGCTTGACGTTTGGATGCTCTTTTAGATAAGGAATAATCACATTTAATTTGTGGTGCTTAGCAAAATGTATATCAGATTAAATATAGAAGCAGCAAAAATTTGTCAAGCCATTAAATTTTAAAGCGTATTTGACCATTAAAAGTAACGGTATTACTTAACGGACTTGACTTTAAGGTTGAAGTTAAATTCATATTAAGTTTTTAACCATAGTCGAATTTGTAGCAAAGATTAAAATTAAATTTACAGCAAAATGCTTAAGTTAAGGTTGAGGTTAAGGCGGTTAAGTTTAATGTTATGATTGAGGTTAACAAGAAAAAACGTGGTATTAACTTCGAGCACCCCGAAAGTGGAATACCCTTTACAAATAAAAAAGTTTCCATACAAAACTTGGCTTTGATCGATCGGTTTGTGAGCCAGCTATATGCTATAGCGGTCCGATCTGAAACAATGTATTTGAATATAGTATCATTGTTTTGAACAATCAGCCATGGAAATTTTGTGTAGATATCTTGTCGAATAAATAAGTTTTCCACACAAAAACTTCAGTTTGACCGTCCAATATCGACGTTTCCGAAAAACGAGAGACAAGCCGTGTGCAAAATTTCAGATCGCTATCTCAAAAAATGTGGGACTAGATCGCGTATATACAGACAGACGCACATGGCTAAAGCAAATCAGCTCGTCACATTTATATATATATTTACTTTTCTTCGGAGGCTACAAACTTTGGGGCCAAACTTAATATACCCTTTTAAGAGTGTACAAATCACAGCTAAGTTGATAGTTACGTTCAAATTAAATCTAAGTCTGGCCGTTAAAGCTCGGACTAAGTTAAAAACTAAGGCTAAGGTTTATGTTCAGGTTAAGGTAATTGTTTAAGTTAAGGTTAAGGTTAATTCTTAAGTATATGGTAAAGTTGGTGTTGAGGTGAAGGCTTAATTTAGGGTTAAAGAAACTTAGCCATTACTCCATTGATTTTAAACAAATTTAGTATACAGAAAACGTGCAGTTATTACCCACCTCCTGAAGTCTCTACTCCAACAAGCATATATCACCGGATTCATGCATGAATTGATCCAGCCCAACCATGTGACCACAGCCGACACTATCTCTTCATGTTCGATGCACTCCACACATAAACCAGATAGCAGATTAACCACGAAAAACGGCAGCCAGCATACGATGAACACACCCATCACAATACCTAACGTTTTCGCGGCTTTCTTCTCTTTAGCGAATTTCGCCAACTTACGTGACAAAGAGAAATTTTTACCCATATGTCTGTGACGCGCCAGACCATTATTGTGCAGCGCCGATAGTGGCTCGTCGTCGGGCTCTTCAGGTGTTGAAGTCGTCGTACCCGATGCGCTGTGATTGTGCAGAGTCGTATGCTGATGTGAATGATGGCGATGATGTTGCAAGCCATCGCCGCTAGGAGCGCCACCCAACGAGCCATGAATTGTCGGATGTTGTGACGCGCTCGTCGAAGGTTCGCGTGTCGTACCACCACGGTGTATGCGTAGGGTTAATTGCAGTTCACCCGACGCCATCAGCACTTGCTTGGTGCCGATCTTTAGTGAACGTGTCTGTATGACCGCAGCACGATAGATGCGACAATAGGTGAAGACCATAACTAGTAGTGGAAGGTAAAATGAGATCGTCGATGAAAAGACCAAATAGCCGAGATGCTCCGTAAATGTACACTTATAAGCGGGCATCTCGCCATCGCGCGCCGCACGCCACCACACAATCGCTGGAAAACTAATTGTACTCGAACACACCCACACCGCGCAGATAAGAAAGGCGGCGCGCTTTCCGGTCATACGCATCGGATAGGAGAAAGGGTCCGTTATGGCCCAGTAACGATCCAATGATATCACACATAAATTCAAAATCGAAGCGGTGCTGAAGAGCACATCCAATGAGCGCCAGATATCACAAAAGTCGGTGCCGAAAAACCACGTATTCTCGAGTACTTCGTACAGCGCCGATAAGGGCATCACAACCAAGCCCACCAGACAATCGGCTACCGCCAAACTTGTGATGAAGTAATTCGTAGCCGTGTGCAGATAGCGCTCACGTACAACGGCCAATATCACCAGTGCATTGCCGAACACGGTGGCGAAAGAGAAGAGAAACAGAAATGAAAGCAACGAAATGCGCTCATTAGGTAGTAGACAGAGAAATTCACCCAATGCCGGATCTCGTGAGCCATTACTAACAGTCTGTACGTATGTCGTAAGCGTCAAATTCGCTGCGGCCACGCTATTGCTGATCGCGTTATTTACGCTCTCTGTGCTGCTGATGGTCAACAATGGTTGTTGTTGCTGCTGTTCGGTGCTTTCGAGAAACCCATTAAAATAGTCGAAGATATCATCGGATATATTGAAACTCGTATAGAAGGAAGGCGGTGGTTCGCCTTGAACCTCCGACGTGTGATTGTCCGCGCGGGCATTCGTTTCCTGATATGAGTACGAGGAGGATGACGCGGGTTCTTGTGCTGTAGCGAGTTGTTGTATGGAAGGTTCTAACTCTGGCGCGACCAGTGAAAACTCAGGCAATTCCTCCGCTGCAAACTCCCAGTAGTAGAGGGAGTTGTTGGCGTTGACGGCTGGTTCAGCGGGTGCGGCCACTCTACTATTGCTATTCCGTGCATACGGTAGGTAGCTGCTGTTATTGCTGTCATTGTTGTTGTTGTTGGTGGTAGTAATGGTGGTGGTGTTCGTACTGCCGATGCTGCTTGCGACATCTTGAGTAGGCGCATATCTTATTATCGCCATTGACGCATGCGCAATTTGCTCGGGTTCCAAAATATTTTAGCCTAAGTGTGTGTGTGAATATGTGTTGCGAGTGCGAGCGGCACTAACTGCATATTATAGTTCTTAGCATGCAGCCATATCACAGTTGTTTGCTGAACATTGCATTAATCTTAAGATTTTTCATTTTGTTTATGTCGGTCTCAGTTGTTGTGCGATGAATAAGCCTGAAAAGAGAAGATAAGAGAGAGTTGTGAAAATAAATAAGAGCAAATGCAAAGACGCCGTTTAACAAAACTCAGTGCTTAATTGCTTAATATAATTTAATTGTGTGATATTTTGATTTGTAATCTTCTATGTCACTACCTGCTTTCCGCTCGCCAAGGGTTTTATTTAGCCTGACAGCCGTCAGGTAATTAATTAGACTGTTGAAAGGAGGAAAACACTTGATAAATAACGGCCGCAATGCTTCTTGTTCCCTTTTCTGCAATATCTAAGTGCTTACACTAGGGTGGTTCTTAAATTTAGTGACCGAAAATTACTGTACTTTGGTTTTAGGTACTTGCAAATTTTGTTGCCCGCTGAAGAGAATTACCGCGTGTTCCACAAGTTCATAATGATTCTAAAAGTTAAGTTTTTGAACGTGCATTATCTTAATTTGTATGTGATATCTTTCTCTACGTTGTTATCATTTGAGGGTGTAATACTGAAATAATAATATGAACCACCCTATTATAGTTATAAATAAAGAAATAAGAGCGAAAAAGCGAATTAAATCACGGTAAACACCGTATTTTGTGACTTTTCTTCGGTCGTCTTATCCCTCCTCATCCATATTACTAATATGTCACTCAAATGCACCTCACATCTTCATCATTCAGCCCTCAAACATCTTCTGTCATTAACAGTGGCTCAGTGGAATTTTCTTCCACTCTTCAGTCTGGCTGTAGCTCAGTCTGAGTTGACACGACATTGAGCGGTACTGCCGTCATTAACATTGCAATTCATTGTAAGCATGTATTCGGTTAATGTCTACGTTGAAAAATGCGCAAATTAATATGCGCTGTCGAAATTATAAGAGCCACTGGGTTACTTGAATGTTGAAAACGACAACAACGGTAATGTCAGGCGTAATTTGCAACATCCTTGCCTGCTGTGCTTTATGTTTTTATTTTATAAATTGAGTTCATATTTCAGGCAGTCAGGTGTAATTTGTCGTCGAAAATTACATGTAACATAAATCTAATCGTATTCATAAAAGTGAATCTTCTTTATTATCCTCAAATTTCTGCTATTATCTGGCAGTTTGAAAAACTGGTGCACTAAAAAGCTAAATAAATATTACAATAATTATATTTTTTTAGTTTGATATAGTCTATGGCTTAATTGAATCATTTCACTCAAGCCAGATGCATTAATTTTTTTCTCTAAATATGAAAAGAGCATATAGCAAGATTATTACTGACGACTCTACATGGGTTCTAAATTAGGACGGAACGATTGAGTCAGTCACCGAATGATATCAAATGTCTGACATTTCATTATTAGACAATAATTATCTTATATTTCATTATTATAATTTTTTTTTTAAATAAATTTTTGTAAGCCTTTTAAACAAACAACATCAAATCAAATATCGAACTATAATTAATCAGCGTCAATGCTGATAAAAAAACAAAATTTCCCACAAAGAATAACTTTTTAAACATCATAATTTCCCCACAATAGACACATGAAAACTAGTCTAGGAAACTCTTAATAAAAGCGCACACATATTCTTTTGAGTTGGATTTTGCACCATCAAATTTAAAAAAATATTAATATACAGTTTAAAAATTATTATTATTTGGGTAGAACAAAATATCACGTGGTTGTGAGAAAGTTTCTGAAAAAATATCTAGTACTAAAAATTTCGAAAAGCTCCGCAAAGTCGAAGAACATACTTCAGAAAACTGTTGTATATGTACTTCCTTTTTTTCATTTGATATATAATACTATTTTTAACGAATGCAAAATATTACTCATACTCATAACGTGTCGCAGAATTTTTTGCTCTCAACGGGATATTTTAGATTAGAAACTTGAAAAAATCTAAATTTTTTTTTAATATTTCGAAAGAATTTTCGATTATTTCTTTTTATTTATCAAACCTAAAATTAAACGCAAAGATTTAGCTGTTGCAATGTTGTGGCAAATTGGCCGGTTTAGGTTTGACCTAAAACTTTAAGCGTGTTTTTCTTGAAACTATTTTTTTTGATGCGCTGTTAACGATATCTTAAGTTTTAATCAAATGTTTTACTTATAAATTGACATCAGATGTTTTTAAATATCTCTCTATCGTCTGAACATAAAAAACTGAAAATTTCTTATATGAAAAAAAGAAAATTGTGAAAAATTGACATACTCGTATATTTTTGAGTAGCCGCCATTTGTTTTTATACCCTGTCTTAGACAATAAGCCGTGCCATATTTCTTGAAGATATCTCGTCAAATGAAAAAGTTTACCATACGAGCACTTTATTCCGATCATTCAGTTTGTATGCCAGCTATAAGCTATAGTGGTCAATATCGTCAATACAGGTAAAATTTTAAGTAAAAAAGACGTTTAAAGTCTTACCTTCTAAAGCTAATTAAGCCAAAAGCCGACTGGCAAGAGAAAATGATTTTTACAGTGTTTTACTAATTGAACAATGTTGAAGTGTATTTTATGGCAAGAAAAAGATTAGTTGTTCGAAAACCTAAAACTGGTCTAACCCTTTATTATTTTGTGCTATTAACTTATTGATTATAGCTAGTAGATGCTTCACAAAAATAATTGAAATACCAAAATAAGCACTTCCTTATACCTGGTTCACAAGTGACTAATTTGTTTGACAATTTACCGAATTGCCATGACGATTTTAATTCACTCGTTTGCGCTATTATTTCCCTTTTAGCAATGTGTAAATACGCTTTAATTGTTCAGCCATGCCAGCGAAGTCAATTGACGGTTGTGTGGTGACATTCACGCACACACACACACACACAAACGCACAAATATACATACATATGTACATTTAGTGCATTCGCTTAATTAGCAAAACGTGCTAGGAACATTATACACTGTGAGTATGCCACACCGCAGCCAACTTTAGCAGCCGCAATTTGCAACGCCATTCCGATGCAAAGCTAATAAATATATTTACATAGGTATGTTATAATTACAGTATCATTGCGCAGCCATATAGCATTGTGCAATATAATACCTAAAAGCGCTCACTTACAAACCGCCCACATTAACGGTGTTGCATGGCACATGCAATGCGCTGAATGTTAATGTACTTACACTGCGGCTTCATACGAGACTGCTTTTAAATATAGGTTTTACTACATACATATGTGCCTACACATATGCTTGTTACTACCCATATGTTTATATAACATTGCGGTAAAATTAACGAGACAGGCGAAGTGTTGCATTCCACAGATTAGTTCTAAGCAATTCCTGCTTTGTGCTTCGCAAGCTTTAATTAAAATGGGAATTTGTGGGATATGGCTTGTTTTGTACGAGACGTATGTATATTTTCTTCGTTAACATGTTCAGCACGGCTGCGCATTGTGCAAACAACCCACAGGCTGTGGAGTTGCAAAATCCAATGCTTACCGGGTGGTATTAACTATAAGCCTACTGCGATTAGTTGGCGAGGAAAATTGCTTTGTCAATTAATATACTTTTTTGAAATAAAGAAAACTGCGATTTTGTTAGATAAATATAGGATTTTCGAGACTTTTAGCAGCCTCAAAAATTAGTTACTAAGCAATAAAATTACATTCGATTCTCTTAAAGTTACTATCTCTGAAGTAATCGCAATATTAAAAAAACCTAAATTGGGTTTAATTTTCTCTAATATTATTTTAAGCCAACTATATATTTTTCTATTTCTTACAGGTACTTACTCATCTAGGCACCAATTCTTACACATATAAGGTAATTTTGCTATTTCTTTTAAGTACAAGAATATCGGCTCGTTAGCCTTTCAATTTCCAAACATTTTTACATTACATTCTATCGTCAATAGACTTAAATTAAATTGAGTTATTCTTAAATATCACTAAGTCACGAAAAAAGCACTTGTAATCAATTTAACTTACATATATAATTTAATCAGATTTTACACGGACTGGTCCATTTAAATGCGTATGCAAACCGAATTGGTAAAAACCGTTTTTTTCTGTTCGTGTAAAGTTTGATATTCATGTTTCAACTAGTGGGTGTTTGGCTGATGCTTGTTTTGCAACCCGAATAGTTTGTCTGGCGATTTTACCAAGGCGAAAAAATTGACAACGAGTTTTCTTGTAATTTTGTGTGAAATCAAGCCTACGAAATCCTTAAAAATATTTCAGAAGTGTTAACGGGCGTCTAATTTTTCACGAACACAAGTATTTGAGTGAATGTCGTAAAATCATCGCAAACATGCACAACTCTGTTAATGACGATACCATCGAAAAAGTTATAGCAACAGTGCTAGAACAGTCATATTGGCATCAAAGTAATAGCAGAGGATTTAAACGTCTCCTGTCAAAATGTGTGATATTTTATTGAAACTTACGTGGTTTAGCGTTGAATATGTAAGGAGTTGGTGTAGACCTTGGTCTAAATCTCATATCCTTAAAATATTTAATTCCGTTGCGCACGTTGACGTTTTCGACATCAACTCAATATAAAGGTATACTAAATTTAGCATCTTTGATGGAGTTTATATTGCATATAATTCATTTGAAGATGATTCTAATATATCTAAATAATTTTAGCTGACTCGAAGTAAAATATAGCAATTAAACTAAGCAAGTCTAGGACCTTTAAAATAAGCTGATATAATACCAAACTTGATTGTTATTCGTTTAGAATTTCGTCTAATAATGAATGCTGAATTCTTTCGGAATATTTTTTTAAATAAAGTTTTGCCAGCACTGCAGATATTTCCTCTGATTTGATCCTTTCAAGTTGCAAGAGCATAAAATGTTCGGCTACACCCGAACATATCGCTTTCTTACTTGTCTTATACAATTTACTGCTGTACTTAAATATATGATTAACCAACCAAAAACACAATAGTGGGACCACTAAGCACATGTAAACAATCTGCACAGTCACTTATGCAACCAACAAGCCAAATCGTCTGCGCTCAACAACTACATAATTTGTTTAAAGATGACGCGCTGAATGTGCACCTGACGCCTAGAAAAA